TCCAACAGTCCACTTGACCCAGGTGGAAAAGTGGGTTTTTATGTTACAGAAGTGCCCAGACATAGATTTGAGGGCTTTTTAAAACAAGAAAAGTGCATTGTTTCAGCACTGCTCTTTCTAATGACATTTTCTCCTCTCTGATCAAGAGAATCCCATAGGGATATGATATGTGGCACTGTATAAAAGGGGTCGCTCTAGATCACGTTCAGTGGGAGTGAAGCAGTGCCTGATTCCACAAACGACTACTTTTTTTTTTTTATTGGACTGTCTTTACCAGAAAGACATACAAGCCCTTTTATTTCCCTCTTGGTAGGAATTGGAAGGAAAATAGCTCACCATTTCAAGGACGGAAAATATTACTCTGATAAGGAGGAGTCGCTGAACTTTAGGTAAATTCAGACTGGGACACTTTATATTTTTTGGTTAATTTAAGTAACAAAAACTTTTTTTGTAACTGCACTTGATTTACAAGAAAGACGAGGGAAATGAACATCTACCAAAGATGATCGCTTAAAAAGGTGTAACTCCTAGAACCTAAAAAAAAAAGTGTGAGAAGTAGTAGAGGCATTGAACAACCTCAGATAATAATGTGCTCGGACCCATTGTGCTTTAAATTGGCCAGCTATGAAGATTTCATAAAAGAAAAAAAAAAAAGGCATTTTGCACCTGTAGATTTGGGATAGTATTTGACTATCTGGAACATTTCCCTATCGCACCTCAGTCAGGAATTGCCATGTCTCTTAGATTACAGCTTCACATCGCAGTTTTGCCAGTGTTAATCTAGCTAATGTTCAGTCTTCCTTACTTGCCCGATCTGCAACAGGTACTTGAATTTGTTTCCTGACAGAGGTTCTTTGGTTAGTTGGTTTATTTTTTAAATGGCAATGTGACTTGCACACGAAGGAATTGGACTCGCTACCAGAGGGGAGTGCTGGGAGCTGTGACTGTGGAGCAAGTTCCACTGCTCAAGAGGACGCAGGACTTGAGCTGTGATTGTTTTTACTCTTCTCTGCTCCATACCCCTCTAGAGCAACAGTCAAGGAGTGGAAATGTTTGAACACTTGCGCCAGATTATTTCCCCCCCTAAGGAATTGGAACTGATTTGCGTGACTGAATAACGTCCTGTTTTGTCTCCAGAACGCTTGTAATATTTTTCACGGCCAAGCTTGTCAGACTTGCTTTGGGTTTTGTTAGCTCTGCTGCACAACAGTTACAGATCTTTTGGTTCTTTTTTTAATTTTCTTTTTCTGTTTAAGCAGGACTTAGTGTTTTGAACAAACCTCTTGCAGTTGAAACATGTTGCTTATCTGCCTTGAAACTGTTTTCACATATGCCTTTGTTTCGGGAATAAGCTGTTTCGAATGTCTGTCCTGTGCTGTAACGCGTGCTACAGTTTGCTGTGTGGAATTTGGTCCTTTTGAGAGATAACTGGTGCTCATCACATCCTGGTAATTTCCCTAGACTAATGCTAGCTCTGGTCTGGATTCTGAATGTGGGCTTGGGTTTTTTTATGTTCATACCCACATTCGTGATGTGAATCCCACAGGTCTCAACTTTGAAGGGGACAAAAGGGGGCTTAAGTTTCAGCCCATAAGAGTGCACTGTAAATAGAGTCTTTAAGAAATCAAAAAGTAATATTGGGGGTCATAATGGGATATGAATCTTTTTATTCATTCATGGGTCATTCCCTTTGACATGGGTCAAATTTCTTCTGCCACAGTACTCCAGTCCCTATTCTGTGTGATGTGGGGGCTAACACACTATTGTCTGGGAGACCAGAGAGTCTCATGTCTTAAGGTGTGTAGCTGGAAAAGCCACAAAACAAATGCAGCTATGAGAATACTTTAAAAAAGGGAGGACTTAGAGCATATCATCAGCTTAGTTTCGTGGGCATTATATTGGTTGCTTTTCTCTTAAACAATAAGCACTTAAGTTTACTATCAATTAGAAATTAAATACCAATCACTTTTTATTCTTGACAGTTTTAAAAATCTGCATTGAATCTGCAACTTTGGCCTGGTAAGTTTGCCGTTCTCCTTTTGGGAAACTAGCTTGTACCTTTTAAACTGTTTATCTTTAAATTGTGTATTAAAAAAAGAAGAGAAAAAGGGGGGAGGAAGAGAGAAGGAAATTAGTGAACTGCAGACATCCTGCACTGAGACACCACAAAACAAACAACCCAAAGAAAGTAGAAGAATGAAGCTTGCATAGCTAGGAGCAACAGTCTCATTCACTGAATTTCATAAACAGGAATGAAATCAAAATGCGGTTAGTTCCTGCAACAATCTTTACAGAAGGCGTGATCCTAAGGGCTTAAGAGCAGTTAACTGTATTTTCTTAGTCCACTCCAAAGAAACTCCTGCTAGAATTGAATTGGCTGTCTCTGGCTCAAGTGATACGAAAAGCCCCATAAGCTCTATTCACTTTAGCACTTCCCCAATTCTGCCACTTCTGTCAAGTTGCCATACTGTGTGTATTAAAGTAATTAAATGCAATTTTCTCACTTAATGATGTATTACCCAGGTATGTAACTTTGTTTAACATAAGCATTTTGTATATTGTTTACATTTTGAGAGGTAGCATTATGTTAAAAATGCTAATTTTTGTTTCTAGACAGTATTTTTATTACTAGAATAAGAAGTGAAGCTGCAAATATTTGATTTGTTTTTAAAAGGGACTTTTTCTTTTGTTTTTGTTGTTTTTGTTTTGTTTTTTTTTAATCTTGTTTTAGGTCACTTTTTTAACTCAAGTATTTAAAAGGAGAACCCAGCCCTTTCAATTCTGGTTTTACAGCTGCTTGTGCTAGTTTGTTGTCTGTTTCTGGTGTGAATTTAGTTCTAGTTTGCTGAATGTAGATATTTCTGTCTGTAGCATGTACCCTGTGGAACACTTTACACTGAAGTGCGTTTGACTGAAAACCATCCTCGGCTGAAAGAGTTGCAGTAGGTAGACAGATCATTTGGACCCTGGTCAGTGTGCAGGATTTTTCAAGAAATCGCAGTGCAATTCTGTGATCAACTGGAGTTTCAGAAAGAAAAAAAAATTAGTGTGCAGTGTCTCCAGTGCCCGAAGGCAGGGTGAGTTTGTGTGAGAAGCGAGTTGCAGGATCCGTATTCCTGTCCGTACCGAGGGCGTGTCTCTTTCTGAACACGGGCCTAATCTGTCAAAATTTAAGAACTAAAAACTGCTTTGAACCTAGAACTTACATCCTCCCCGTTGAGATAGCTCCTACAGCGCAAATAAGAGTGGGAGAGGGAAGGCAGAGTGTGGAGTCACAGTTTGGGTGCTGTTCTGCCCCAATAGTGCAATAAAAAACACTCGAGAACATGTTGGGTCACCCTTTAATAGGACCCACATGTTCTGGAGGTATCAGGCAGCACCCGCCCTTTGTGTCAGCTTTGGTGTCAGCACTAGGAAGAGGGCCTGGTATTTGCTATACGTAAGAAGAACGTTAGCAGGAGTTCATTGCTCACAGCAAGGAGTGGTGGGATCCTTCCCTCTGGTCTCATACACGCCGCTGACTGACCTGGTTTTAATTATAAAAGCCGCAATCGTGAAATTCATCACAGGGAGAACTTCTGGGGTAGTAGGTGACTCCAGATTTCCTGCATAAATGAGGCTGTACTCCCACATCCGAGAATCCTAGTTTTGAATTGGATTGTCATAATCAGCGAGAACCCTAGAACACTCGAGTCGTCTTTCCTTTTCTGGGAGGAAACTCCTGCTTTCCGCCTCAGAGCGCTGCCACAGCTACCTTCAGTGGGGACTTGCCTCTTAGCCCGAGAAAGGCACAAAGCAAGGTTGTATTGTAGTTTCGGGCCGTTTGGTAGGGGTTGTGTCTTAGCCTCGACAGACGGATGCCTCCCAGTCCTGTGACTACTATGCAGTCTTTATAGATGCCTCCCTTCAAGCTGCACAGAGGTCAAAGTGTTTAACCTCGAAGTGGTACAAACCTTTCAGAAGTCAGTGTGTGTGTCCTAAACTTGGTTTGCAACACTGCGTAACCGATCTGAGACAGATCGTCCTTACAATAGCTCCAAAAACAAAACTGCTATCCTCTCCCCGTCTGTGTCTTAATGCCCCGTTTCAGGTTTGCCTGTCAACTTCCCCTACTTCTGCAGAGCCATTCTCCAGTATCCGTATTAGCCACTACTGATTTTCCTTGCTCTTTGAAATGAATTCTTGTGTAATAGCGATGGCAAAGTTCGGGGGACCAACTGCTAGTCATCCATCACTTTTAGTGGTTTCCGTTTTTACCACTCAGATGTTGTGCTGCTCTTTGTTTAGCTGCACAATGCTAAATGCAGCTGGATTGAGTGGTGTCAAGTGAGTGTATTACACACAGGTCACAAGGGTGGGCAGGGCTAATCAGTGCAACTGAAAAAATGTGAATAAATTACGTTTAATCTAAAACTTTAAAAAAAAAAAGCATTCTAGGTTTTTTCACTGCTGTTTTTTAAATAGGAATTTTAAGTCCTCTGTGCTTGTCTGTTTGCTAGGAGCAGTTTGAGACACTGTTACTGTTTTGAAATGCATGCATGTTACAAGATGAGTCTCCAACCAGAGAAAAATAAAATTAAAACTTTGTGTACATCTGTTCCTTACTGCTGTCCTCTTTAAAGTCCTCTAATGATCAACTGTTACTCCATGAGGTATGTGATCGTTTTAAGTCCTAGATTAACGACAACTGGAAAAGTCTTTTTATACGTGTCTGTAAAATGGGGTTTTTAAGTAAGAACTGATTTTACCAAGTCCTGGATATGAAAACAAATTAGAATTGACAGGAAAAGCTAATACTGCCATACTGTCTGAAGGAGATGCTGCTGACTCCCTAAGGGGCAGCTGAAGCTCAGTCACTCTCACATGTGGGTGTACTGAGGGAGATTAGTACAGGTGGCTCAGAGAAAGGTAAGCTCTGCTGCCGTGCAAAACCCAGGCTCCTTCTGGTAGCTTTAGAGATGAGAACTTAATCCTAGTGTTCAGACTTAAGAAAAGGAAAGTTCATTACAGCAGAGAGTTTTATTTAAAAAAGTTCCAAGCAGACTGGGATGTGAAACACATGAGCAGATGTGCTGGGCTAGTCCATGCGAGCTTTCAGGGTCCTGGTGGTGATCTTGTCTTTTTCACTAGAGGGGAAAAGAGAGAAGACTACTAGTAAATCCACGTTTAATACCTACATACAGATTGTCCCTTCATTAGGAAGTTGCAGTGTGCATAGGTAGTTTGTTTGCTAGCGCAGGCAGGATCATCTGAACTTGAAGGTGGCCGTTACGACTGAGTAAACCCCATCCTCCTGCCACTTCACCCCACAGGAGCTCCCATGGGTGCAGTAAGCAGCAGCGCCTGGGATGCTGCAGGGACACAGCACCACGAGCAAAAGAAGCTGCTTCAGAAGTCAGTCTGATTGCAGAGTCTGAAAGTTAACGTCGCACCCAGCTGTGGCAAAAAGCATCCTCCTGGCCAGTGCTACCCATATGTGAGAAGTCACACTGCTAAATACAGGGAATGCAGCTAGGGAATCCCTATACAGCAGAGTCTAACTCTAGGATTAATTTCCCATGGCTCCTGCTGTTCTAGCAACAGTCACGAACTACAATAGAGAGCAGCCGTGAGAAATAAAACACTTAAAATGGACAAAACGTTACTACGGGTGCTGCTAGAAGGGAGCAGGATTAGGGCCACCCTGGAAGCCAATTCCTTAACTAACTTTAACACACAGCTTGTTAAATTCTACCTCTGTTCTGTAGGGGAAGAGAGCGGCACTTACATTATGTGTACTACCACACCCATTCCAGATATGGCATCTCTGTCCACCGCATTCAACATGGCCTGCGAGATCGTTTCGAAGAGGTGATCGGGTTCCTGAGGAACAGAAGCTCTTTTAGTTGGTGTAAAAATTGAATGTTGAGTCATCAGTTTTTTGTTCAAAACCCAAAGTATCATCCAAGATGCTGCAAGATCTTTCCCGCAAGCTACAGCCTCTTTGTTCTCCGGAGCACCTTCGGGAAATACCAAAGGACAGAGCTTTCCATCCAACCCGCGTATCTCCGGTTCTCCAGTTAACAGCAGGAGGCTGAATCCAAGAATCGGAGCTAAGCCTGGCCACCTCACTCACCATGTCGGGCTCCCAGAGGGACTCGCACATGCCGTACATCTGCTCGGAGCAGGTGCCGCTGACTACAAAGTCATCGGTTATCATCGGGCAGCCGATCAGGTCTAGAGAGCAGATGAAAGGTTCGTGTGTTATGGGGTCCAGCCCAGCAATGACTGGTTCTGTGTAGTAAGGTCCAAACCTGTGAAGAACAACATGGCATAGAGCAGTGCAACCACCCTGACACAGTTCCACATCCCACATAAATATCTGTACAAGGAAAACATCCCACAGATGTTTTCTGGTGGGGACCTTTCAGGTCAACTTAGAAGCACCCTGCAATAGTTTTAGCATGGCAAACAGAACAAACTTGTACTACTACAGGATTATTTTAACAATACTCAGTATTCTTTTGCAAGGAGGTTGAAGATGTCACAAGATTCAAGTCTCCTTTTGCCATACCACAAGTAGTCTTTACAGGAGCCCTCCTCAGCCTCCCACCTCTCTAGAATTGGATCAGCTCCAACAACCACAGCCTTCACTGACACGTAAACAGTGACTCTGTTGTTTGATAGTTACCGTCTCTCGTAGAGCAGATTGGAAACCATGCTCATAAAAGTCTGAGGTTTGATCTGCCTGCCTTCCTTCAGCTCATAGAGATTCAGCCTGAACTTCAGTCTCTGGGCACTGCAAGAGATGAGAATCAGCATTAAAGCAGAAGCAGGTTCTTTTTTCTTTCACCTTTACCCAGGCCTGAACTGTTCTACTGCACGCTGACAGACACCAGCTCCTGATGCATGCCTGAGGCAGGTAGGTATTCCAGGTGCAGCTCTTTTTATACCTGAAGTTACCAAGTTTTAGTAGTGACGTGATCTTAAATTACGTGCAGTTTTATTTAAAAAATCCCACTGAAGGGAGACCAAGAAAAGGAGTGCTGGCACCCAGCTATTATACCCTCCCCCACGAATAAACAAAGACATTTATGCTCAGCATAAGCTGCCACTTAGTATTTAGTGTAAATATGCCTCTTACAGGCTCTGTATGGGAACGCACGGGCGGGCAGGAGTCTCACTTACACCGTTTGCACGTCCGTGGCCAGTCCT